TATAGGAGAAACAACAGGAGAAGCCCCCAAATCAACCAGTACTTACTAGAGATGCAGTAGAATAATTTGAGAACATCAGTGAGGATTTTTGCACAGTCTACATTTTGAATACAGTGCATCTGCAAATAGATATGAAGGGGCTGGAGCAGTCTGGGTCCCATAGCACAATTAACCAGCTATAGCTCCCTATGTGTGTGTGTATGCATATATATTTCTCCAGAGTTCTGCCCACTGACAGGGGCCTGGGTTCAGTGCCAACCCAATAGCAATGAAGATACCTAACATCCAGACCTTGCCTTCTAAATATTATTCCCCACTAAAATTACCAAGACTTTTTGGACAAATGGCTGGTTTCAGGGCTCAGGCATAGTTTATTTTGTAATATCTTATGCCAGAAAGCAAGGAAGTACTCAAATAATGAGCCATCAAAAGGACTCAAAATTGGGGCTGGGGTTGTGGCTCAAGTGGTAGAGTGCTTGCCTAGCATAGGTGAGGCACTGGGTTCGATTCTCAGCACCACAAAAAAATTAAAAATGAAGATATTCTAAAAACAAAGACAAAAAATAAAACCTCAGAACTTCCACTGTCCAAATCAGGAACAATTTCAGCATCAAATTGGACTTAAATAAATTAGGAATCATGAGTTCTTATCAATGTGAATTAATTAATTGAAAGTTTGATGAGACCAAAGAAATGTATATGTTTCAGGAATGTATTTACAAAAAGAAAAATTATTTTCTAGTAGAAAAAGTTGGCAAACATAACCTTCATCAAGTAATCACATACAATATAAGTGATCAAAGTTAGTAATGGGACAAATCAGAATTATTTACCACCTGATAGGGTGCATTGGGGAAGAATATAACATCTCTTCTGTTATATTTCTGCCAAAATTGTATAACCACAATGTAATCATTTAGAAACATCAGAAAAACCCCAATTGAGAGAGATCCTATTAAAATAATTGACCTGTAATCCTCGTCAATATCAAGATCACAAAGTCAGGGAAAACTTGACACTATTCCAACTGAAAGACTTAAAAGATACAGCAACTAAAAGCAATACATGAATTTGAACTAGAGCCTTCTAATATAAAGGACATTATTGGTGAAACTTTATTGGGTTGTTAATGTTACTTTCCCAATTGTGATGTTTTTGTAGAAGTATTCAGGATGATGAAACATCAGAGAAACAAGTTACTCTCAAATGGTTCAGGAAAATGAAGTTTGTGATTGCTTCAATCTCTAAAAAATATATTAATTTAAAAAGTTGGAAATTGCAGATATGAAATTTGGCAGATTATTCAGTATGTACATAATAGAAGTACAATAAAAAAATAATAGTTCAGAACAACACAACCTATAAACAGAACTTTTTTAATTAAAAATTTCAATACCTATCAGAAGCACATTTCATGTATTCAAGATGATAACCAGTATTGAGAAATACTACAAAAACATTTAAAGAAAAAAAGACTGTGGAATTCTGTCTTTACTCCTTAGGAAAAACTCCCTTAAGCCCCTTTGGTAGTACCAAAGAATTTGAACCTGGGTCCTTGCACAAGCTAGGCAAATGCTCTACTACTGTTACATTCTCCCCACCCCCATACCGCCAATAAAGCCCTTTTAAAAGGAAGAAAAGTATTGTCAGCAGTATTTCATCAGAAGGCAATTATAGGACATAATGAAGAAACATGAAGAGTCAAACACAGTCAAACGTACTTTCACCTATAAAGGCTGTATTCAAACACATCAACAAAAAATTGGGATGATATTGTTTGTATAAATATTTGCTGAGGAAAGAAACAACCGTCAACATTCAAAACGATGAGAAGAGATACTGTTGTGAGGAATGGTGTTGGCATTAAGATGGATATAAGGAAGAGAGTATGGAACATGAAAAGGCTTTAATTGCTGACAATTTGAATAAAATACAGTTATCAGAAAAATGGGAGAGTTTGAAGATGATATGAAAATGGAATAAGCTTTCTGGTAGTTTTAAAGTTTTTAACTAGATATAAGAGAATAATATTTCATATCAGATCTGAGAAGATTGCTTATAGTAGGTGACCAAAGACAAACAAGTAAAGGTATAGTTAGCTTAGTGGTTGAGCCCTTTCCCAGCATGATGAAGGCCCTGGGTTTGATAGCTTGATATCAGCACCACAAAAAGAAAAAGGACAAATCTACTACTATTTTTTTCATTCTTTCTCATTGTCTTATCTCTCCTGCTTCTTTCTAACAAATCAACCAACCATACAGTGAGACTGTATTCCTATTACTACTATTTCATGACAAACTTCCCTTGAAACTTAATGGATCAAAACAACCATCCTAAGAATTCTGTATGTTTAGAATTTAGGCCGAGTGCAGTGGCTCACACCTGTAATCTTAGTGTCTTGGGAACCTGAGGCAGGAGGATTGCAAATTCAAAGGCAGCCTCAGCAACTTAGTAAGGTCCAGAGCAACTCAGAAAGACCCTGTCTCTAAATAAAATATAAAAAGGGCCGGGGATGTGGCTCAGTTGTTAAGCACCCCTGGGTTCAATCTGTGGTACAAAAAAAAATACAGTTTAGGCAGGACTGGAAGGTTTTTCTATTCCTTGCATAATCAGCTGAGCTCATTTCATGGAATATAAAATTCAAAGAGTGGATGAGCTGCTTTAGCTGCTTTGGAGGATCCAGGGTGACCTCACTCCCATTATCTTGTGCCTTAGTTATACCTGGCTAGAAGTTTGGACTCAGAGAACCATCATCTGATCTGCAGTATGGTTATTATAGAGTAGTAGGGCCTGTTACATAGTGTCTGGCTTCCCCTCGGCATCCTGGCCTGTTTTAATCAAACCTTGAAAATTACACAAGATCATCAGGACTTCTTGGTTATAAGCAAGTCAGAAAAAAGCCCAAATTCAAACAGAGGGGAATTAGACTCCACCTTTTGTTGGGGAAATGAAAGTTACATTGTATAAGAGCATGTGGAAGCACTTTTGGAAAATATAATCTGCCACAGTTATTTTGTAAAGGTTCTACACACACACACACACGTAACCCAAATCATAAGAATAAAACTGGGATAAACACCAAAAGTTAACTCAAGTATTAAAACAATTTTCAGGTTTACTAATGAAGCAAACAAAAAGATTATGTAGTGGTTTTTAAAAAGTGAGAAACATCTGACTATATGGCTATTCTTATTATTTCGTGGGGAAGAAACAAAGGAGAAATCTATAAGTTTACCATTTAAAAAGAAGATGATGAGGCTGGGAGTGAACTTAGTGGTAGGACTTCTGCCTACCTTTTGCAAAGTCCTAGGTTCAACCCCAGTAAAGAAGCAAGGAAGTTTTCATGTATTCATACACATAATTATATATTATATACATATATAATAAAATAAAGATGAATGTTTTACAGGGATGTGTGTATATGCTTATATTGTTAAAAATGGAGGAATAAGCTTTTCTTTACATATTTACTTATCAGGAACAGGACAGAATAGGATGAGTAAAGGATAGAGGCTGAACTTCATTTTTTTAAAATATTTTTTTAATTGTCAGTAGACCTTTATTTTATATATATGTGGTGCTGAGAATCAAACCCAGGGCTTCACACAATCTAGGCAAACATTCTACCACTGAGCCACAACCCCAGCCCTGGACATCCTTTTTAATATTCTTCTTGCTGTAAGATTTGACTTTTGACTTATTTCACTTACTTACAAAAACAAAAAATTTAAAAAGCAGCCCCTAAAAATTGAAGTTTAAAGTAAAAAGAAACAAATGAACCTAATGTGTATCCATTTGGCAGCCTTAACACCCAAGGAAGAATTATTCCAAGTGACTAAAACAGTAATTCAGCCAGGCATGGTGTTTCTGTCTATAATTTCAGCTACTCAGAAGGCTGATCACAAGTCCAGGTCCAGCCTGGGCAACTTTGTATGACTTTGTCTCAAAATTAAAAATAAAAATGGCAGGGGATGTAGCTCAATGATTGTGAGCTTCTGCAGAGGAGAGAGGGGGTGGAACTCAAAACATATCTCCCATGGCCTATATACCTATCTGTAAATCTTAGCTGTGTCAACATATAATAAAGAAGATTTGTCATGATAGTTACATAGTAATGTGAGTTTTTTAATAATTGGTTGCCTCAGTTAATCATAATATCCATTAAAAAACATGATATGACAATGATGAAAGGAAGAGTGACCCAGCAGTATTTATTCTTACTCTGTCTTCTTAAGCTATACAACTCACAAGCAAATTGTTTGTTCTAAGACTAGGTTTATAAGAAAATCAAGTTTGATATAACATTGATTTAAAAGAAAAGACATAAATGTGTACAACTTTGTAATTGCAATAATTTTTTTTAAAGTGCTACAAGTTTTTGTTAAAGATTGAGTAGTTCTTAATGTATAATATAGTTTAAAGTAGTCCATTTTCAAAATTATTCTTTTATATAAAAATGTGTTAAATAAAAATATTTAGGAATGTTATTTCAGATTTTTTTGCATCTTATTTTGACATTTGATAACTTACGAATTATTAGTTAAAATTTATCAGTTTGTTAAAGCACATTTTTATTATTGATCTGCATAAGTTCTGCATAAGAATATAAGGTTAACTGTTAAAGGTTAGTAATCAAAGCATCTAGTTCATTAATATAGCTTTTTTAAGACAAATTAGAATAAATTCTGGTTTTTAACATATGCACTTAATTTAGACAGTAAGGTAAGATTGATAGTGCTGTTTGATTCATGGAATTGCATTAACTGATTAAATATTATATGAATGTAGAAAAATTCTAAGGCAATTTAATTTCTGACACATTAAGAAGCTCATAATTTTTTAAGTTTTCATGTTGAACAAAATCTTATGCATTTTACTGTTTTAAATTCTAACCACATTTAATCTATTTTGAAACAGCTTAAACATTTAGCAGTTTATCTTTAGGTAACTTATTTTTTTGAGACTATAAAATAAAATTATTTCTCTTTTCCTTCCTTCAGAGTACAGTCGTTTTGAAGCTAAAATACATGACTTACGGGAGCAGATGATGAATAGTAGTATTAGTTCAGGGTCAGGTTCTCTACGAACTAGCCAGAAGCGATCCCTCTATGTCAGGTAAATGTTTTACTTCTAATTATAGCAATCTTTAATTATCTATGCATGCAAATTCTTTCGGTATTTTCCACTGACTTAAGTTTTACTATAAAAAAATATATTACAAGTTAGTGAAATGTTTTTTAATGATTGATTTTCTGACAGTGTATCTATGAAGAGTTAGAATATTATAATTTCATTAGTGAAAGTTATGTAACCCTTTGAATAATCATGATAAAGACAAGATAAATGTGAACTTGGAAGTATTTTTAGATTGGTGTTTTAGGAATGCAAACCTGACATATTATACCACACTTAGATTTACTTGTATCATTTATAATAGGATATATTCCATTTGAGTAACTTATAAATTACCTTGGCAGTTTCTTTAAAAGTAAAGAGAGCAAATAAAAATAATAAGTGCTGGGGGCAGTAGTACAAGCTTGTTATCCCAGCTATTGGGGAAATGGGACAGGAGAATCACAAGTTTGAGACCAGCCTCTATAACTTAGAACCTGTCCCAAAATTTAAAGGGCTATGTTTTGTTTTGTTTTGTCTTTGGGGAAGGGGGAGTTAGTTCAGTGGTAAAGCACCCCTGGTGATTTATGAAATACTTAAACAAAAAGAAAAACATTTTGTACACTTGTTTGGAGTACCTTTATTTATTTTTTATACCAAGGATTGAACCCAGGGGCACTTAACCACCATGCCATACCCCCAGACATTTTTAACTTTTTAGTTTGAGACAGGGTCTCACTAAGTTGCTGAAGCTGACTTTTAATTTGTGATCCTCCTGCCTAGCCTCCTGAGCTGCTGGAATTATAGGTGTGCGCCACCACACCTGGCCATCTTTATTAATTTTTTAAAGATATAACACTCTAATTTTAAAGTTCGTATGTTATCAAAAAGCCTTATAATGAAAAGTAATAGTCATCTCCTACCAGCCTCTAGTTTCATCCTCTTTAAACAGTTATCTTCCATTTTCAAAGCAAACTCCCTTGCCTTTACCTCTTAATTTCTAAATAACATGTATATATTACTGTTTTCTACTTTAAACATTATGGACTTACTGCCGCTGTGTTCCCCTACCACACCATTCATTCTGCCTCTTATTATGTGACCCACACATAATCCCTATCACTGTCAATAAAATTAATAGTATTGAGAGCCATGTGTCTAAATAAGCCTCTACAGTTTTTCACAACATGTGGACACTTAAATGGTCTTAAATCAGATGGAGTTTCTTCCCATTTTTGTGCTCCAGTAGTTACTCTGTAGACTGGCTGTACATTCTCAAAAAGGACTTCCCTTTGCCATTACCCTGTTCCCTTTGCCTCTTTACTGTATCAGGATATGTTGCTTGCGTGTCACATTTTCTTCTTAGTTTTCTTTTGTTTTCCTAAAGTGATTCTCTAGTAAATTCCTGAGAAAAGACTGGGTGGGAGGTATTTATTCATTTTTTTTTTTTTTTTGAGTCTTAGCATGTCTGAAAGTGACTCTCTTCTGCTTTCTCAATTAGAATTTAGTGGGGAGGGGTAATATCCTGTTCTATTTTTCAAGGGTTCCTTCTTGTTATCTGATTTTTTGTCATTTTTTTATTTCATAAACGTGATAACTAATGTTTTTCTGAGGTTTTATATTTCAAGTATTCTCTGTGTTTTTATTTTATAGTTAGTTTATTTTCTTTAGTTTTTTATATGTGAGGTGTTCTTTAACTATTCAGTGATCCTTGTTTTCCATTCTTAACAGAGAATGAAACTAGAGGGTTTAACTAGAAGATAATGGAAGAGGAATAAATTGGCTCTTTCACGCTCCTCTTCTGCCTCATGTCATTCTTGTCTTTTGTGTCATTCAGTAACTCTAAAGAATACTTAATCTCCTGCCAGCAATATAAACCAGATTGCTAGAATTTTCTTTTTCAGTATATGGATTTCCCGTTCATTCACTTGTTTTCAATCTAACTTCTTCCTACACCCCTCCAAGTTCCACAGCACCTAGCTTCTCAGACTCAAGTTTCTCTAAGATTAAACCTCTGGTCTTCTATAGGACTAGAAATGGGAAAAGGGGCCTGGAAGATCTAATGGCTATATAAAGTTTCCACCTTCTGTTTTCAGTAGTATAACTTATCCCTGCTTACCTGGATACTGTACACCTCTAATTTTTGAGCACGTGTAAAGTCTTATGGAATAAATCTTGTTTCAGTATCCCTTTCTTCAGGTACCCTAGTTATAGCTTCTCTTAGTCTGCTAAGCATAGGTATCATCCAAAAATATTATTAAAATCTCTTTTCTCCTATTGTCCTCTTTTGTATTTTTATTTTTCATTGTCATTATAATGAGTTTCAAGATGGAAAGGAAATAAACAAATGTAGGCAGTCTGCCACAGTTAAGCAGAGGTTCATGGTTCTTTACTTTCAAAAAATAAAAACAAGGCTATGAAAGATCATAGTTGATGCCTTTTTATAAATCTCTGAAACAAACTAAACCATTATAATGTTTCAACCCAATAAGTCCAAAGTTTTCAGTTCTGTAAATATTTCAACAAAGTTAGAACAGGTTCATTAAAACATATTGGAAATCATAATATAGAGCTCATATAGCCTTTATATTTTTTCATATATGTATATGTCCCACATCTGAGACAGTGGGACAACATGTGATAAAACTAAAGCAACAACAACAACAATAGCAAAAAGGATCAAGACAATTAATAAACACTGTATTCAAAACAGTGGTTTCAAAACTTTATAATAATGATATAAAACTTTATAATGATGATTAACTCTTGATCCAAGGGAAGAAGGATCAGAGAGAGAATATATAGGTAAGTAAATTATTGATAATGGTCAAAGTGTTCATTATACTCTTACAATTAATAACTCATGTATTCCATGCATTTATTATTTTAATGAATCAAATATGACAAAAGATAGTGCTAACAGAATAGAAATTGCGGATGATTTCTTTTGACCATTTATTCATCAGTAATATACTTCTATTTTGTGATTCAAAAGTTTAATTTTTTACTAAAATGTTGAGATAATATTTTCCCTTTTCTGAATGTCTTTTGACTTTGTTCTGTTGAGGTACTTTATTTTTTATTTTATAATATGTTGATTTGTATCCTCATCTTCTAAATATTTTCTTACATGTTAAGTAAGCCATCCCACTTAATTTCCACATACTTCTCTGAGACCATTAGCCTTGAAAGGAAAGATCACATTTGAAAAACATGAATTGCCAGTTCATTCATTAACTCCATCATGTAACTCCATCTCTCATCAGATTTTCCTTCAGGAGAAAAGTTTCTAAAAATTGAGTAGCATGGAAGGCTGTGGATATGGCTCAGTGTTAGAATGTTTGCCTCGAATATGCAAAGCCCTGGTTTCATTGTCTAGCATCACAGAAGAATTAAAAAAAAGTTGGGTAGAATGAAAAAAGAGTAGGGATTTGTATCCTCATTTGTGATTATCAAATTGGAATAAAAGAATAAATAAATAGTATTTAAAATGTAATTATTGGAATTCTTTCTTATTCTCTTTATTTGTTCATTTTTTTGTCAGTTTTAGCAGTACTCAGGATTGAACCTAGGACATGTACGCTACCACTAAGCTACAACCTCAGCCCTTTCTTGTACTCTAAAGAGAATTTATTTGAATTTAAAAATTAAATTTGTTTATATATTGTACACAAATTAACCAAGTGACAGCTCATAATATTTTTATCAAAATTTTCAATATTCATTTGTATTTTTCATTCTTGTTTTGTGAACAAATGGAAGAAGGAATGATTAATGGAATAATCACGATTTTGATTTAGTCTTTCAGTTCACAACTATTGGATCAAATTTATCAGGGAATTTGTTTTCAGGTGTCTAGTTAAAGTAAACAGAAGAGTATCTCTTAATGTTTACTTTCTATTTATTATTTTAGAACAACTCTCTAGATTTGTCTCTATTTTGGAATTCAGTATGGGTTGTCATTGGATTTTACTTACAGCATTTTTTGGTTTGGGTATTGGTTTCTTTTGGTTTGGTTTGGTTATGAAATGGAGTCTCACTACATTTTCCAGACTGGCCCCAAACTCCTGGGCTCAAGCAATTCCCCTGCCTCAGCCTCCCAAATAGATGTGTCAACACACTCAAAAGCATTTTTTAAATTTCTTGTACACATTTTACCAAATTTGATCTAATCCTCAGAACAACCCTACAAAATATTATTAGCCCTGTTTGATAGATAAGAAAAGCCTCAGGAGAATCAAATAAACTGCCCAAAGTAAAAGCAAACACAGAAACTACAATATAACTCCAATAAGTAGAGGACATACCAGTCAAGCCCTCAAGTCTGATTCCAAAGCACCTGCTAATTCATCTATACCAGCACTGTCCAAAAGAAACATAATATGAGCCACGTATATTGGTTTTAATTTTCTGAAAGTCACATTTTAAAAAAAAAACAAACTATTTCTCATACATTATTGAAAGAAATAGGTAATATATCTAAACTATTTCCATAACAAGTTGATTTGATACTTGTTTTGTCTCATTTTCTTGTGCATATAGTACAATATTGATCTTGGCATTATCTTGCCTACCATAGTATAATACTAGTTTAATTATCCAAGTTATATATACTTTGAGAATCCTATATTTACTTAAAATTGATTAATACCACAATAATAAATAATTATGGGCTTTTCTTCTTCTGAATCTAGAGCCCTTTTTGATTATGACAAGACTAAAGACAGTGGCCTTCCCAGTCAGGGACTGAACTTCAAATTTGGAGATATCCTCCATGTTATTAATGCTTCTGATGATGAGTGGTGGCAAGCCAGACAGGTTACACCAGATGGTGAAAGTGATGAAGTTGGAGTGATTCCCAGTAAACGCAGGTAAATTTGTTTGTTTGTTTGTTTTACCACTTGAAAGTAGGGCATAAATAGCATAAAAAATTGCTGTTTCTTTACATTTCTTTTACTGTATAATATGGATGGACCTAGAAGACATTATGCTAAGTGAAATTAACTAGACACGTGAAGACAAATATTGGATAATCTCATTTGTATATGAAATCTTAAATAGCAAACTCAGACATTAGAGTGGTGGTCACTAGGGGTTAGGGGAACAAGGAATGTGAAGATGTTGGTCAAGAGACACAAAGAGCAAATACCAGAAATCTTATGTATATGATGGCAAGCCACAGGTAACAATACTGTACTGTATTCTTGAATTTTGCTCAGTAGGTAGATCCCAAGTGCATTTTACCATCATCAACAATCCAAAAAAGATAACTAAGTAATAGATTTTTTAATTAGCTTAACTGTAATGATTATTTTACAATGTTTGCCTGTCAAATCAAATTGTGTGCCTTAAATATGCATAATTAGATTTTAAAAACACCAAGACAACTGAATAAATTTCTTTTATTGAAGTGTTGATTTTATACTTTGTTTTCCAGTATTGTGCTTCACAACTATTTAATTTTATTCACATTGAATTGTAACCAGTGGCATAATTAGAAGATATGATGCCCCCAAACAGATCTCTTTAAAGTTCCTCCTGGTTGCTAAAAAAATAAATAACTCTTGTGTCACTATGCCATGTGTCTATACCAGTAAAAGGAGACAGAATTAAAAGTGTCTGTAGTTTTCCTATGTTAAGTGGTAATAGGACTTACATTTTTTAAGCTTTTGATTGTGTACATTGCCTCCTTTAGATTAAATAGAAATATTTAGTGGGATACTTCACTTCTCCTTTTTCTTGATTAACTTAGACCTGTTGGTACTGTCTTTGCTCTTTATGTTTAACCATTCATTTTTGTGATTCATTAATGCATGTTTACCATCTAGTGGCAAAAGTGATTATATACAAATGTCTTTAGTATGATCCATAATTGGGGAGGCGGGCCTAGAGAAGAATGGACAAACTTTGGATTGGGCAGGAGGGAGTGAGGGGAGGGGAGGGGGTGTGGGGGTGAGAAGGATGGTGGAATGCCATGAACATTATTACTCTCTCTATATATATATGTATGATTGTATGAATGGTGTGACTCTGCGTCATGTACAGCCAGAGAAATGAGAGGTTGTGATCCATTTGTGTACAATAAATTGAAATGCATTCTGCTGTCACGTATAACTATTTAGAACAAATTAAAAAAAAAAAAAGTATGATCCCAGTTTAGAGTACCTTATAAGGTCTCTGAAATGTTGACTGTCTGTACTTTTATAAGCAAAGTATTAAAATGGCAACTTATAATTCCTCCAAGATAGTTTTAAGATAGCCAGCAAAAATAATAATGTCTGTTATAGTTAGTTAATTGATTTGAGATAAAGCTTATGATGTAATAAACATACTTTTGCGGGGCTGGGGTTGTGACTCAGCAGTGGAGCACTCACCTAGCACATGCCGGGTGCTGGGTTCTGTCCTCAGCACCAATAAAAATAAATAAAGGTATTGTTTCAAACTAAAACAAAAACAAAATATTTTTTTAAAGAACATGCTTTTTCTTATTGAGTTGGATTTATATTTTGTTGGAATCACTGTAATTGGTAAATATACAAATTATTTATAAACCATCTATAAACCTCTTTCTATATTTTATACAAAAAAGTAGTATTAATCTGTTCTTGTGGTGCTGGGGATAAAACTTTGGGCATCATGCATACTAGGCAAGTGCTCTATCACTGAGCTACACTCATCCCTAGCCCAAGAATAGTATTATTAAAGTATTTAATTTAAAGTAATTGATCTTTAATTTAATTATTAAAGATTTTTTAATTGTGGTTTTAGGGTTGGTTTATAACTTATTGGGTAGATCTACATACTTAGCAATATCCATCTATGTGCAATCTTATGTTTGATGGCAAATTCTCTTTTAGCAATGCAGCCCCTTAATGTAACGTTTTCCCAAAATAGAATATATTCTGCTTAAAATTCAAAAATGCCTCCTCCCTACATTCTTGAGTCAGTAGAAACCTCACATCTTAAATATCAAGGTCAGAGTTCCTAAAAATTTTCTTATCCCTTGGAACCTCATATCTCACAAAGGCTCTCCATGTACCTGCAGCCAATGTTTGATGAAAAGAGAATTAAGAATTACTGTAAGAGATATATCTTGAGACCCTACCAGTCCCCAAATTCATGAGTAGCATTACAGAATATAATTTTTCTCCCGTAAAATACAGTATGAAACTACAACTAACTAGGCTATTTCATTCATGAATATATTCTAAACTTGTTTTTCCTTAAATTGAACTGTCTCCTACTTAGACTTCTTTACTTCTAAGAATTATAATTACTTCAATTCTTGACTTTCTTTCAGGGAAAGAAATCTTTCTTTCAGAGAAAGAAAACCTGAAAAATTGCTAAATTCAGTAAAGAAATAAACACCTTTTAAGTCACTCAACTATTTACTGAACAAGCAATAGTTAAGAAACAAAGCCATTTTGAATGGTAAATGCTTACCAACTAAATGGTAATTTTGTTGTGCCTTCAGCAAATACTTAGATATTATAAATTATGCATGTCATGGCCCCTCAAGATTGCTCTGGAATAGTAAAGAACATAAGTTATAAGTCTATGAATGCCAAGACTCTGCTCTACCTGTGGTAAAACTATATAGCTAGATATATTTATTCATATGCTATTTGGGTAGGTTTTTCTGCAGTATGCTTGCATAATTGCGTGTTAAAAATCTAAGGATTTATAAAAACATACTTTAATCAAACTTTGCAAGATTATATTGATGTTAGAATCTACAATAAATTTTGGTTTACACTTATAATTTGCTTGCATATTTTTGAAGAGCTAACACTTTAACAAGGTTCAAAGTTCTATAAGCTATTTAGGTTCCCTCTAAACCTATTTCACCTTACAGGAATAAGGAGAGTTACCAGTTCTTCTATATCCCTCAAAAAATACTGTAAAACTTATGTTTTACACTCTAACTAGCTACTTTATATATATATATGCACATATACATCACTGAAATTAAGCTTAATTTTTATGTTTCTCGCTTATTTTTCTAAGTTTCAGAAAAGTAAGTACAAAAAATTGCAAGAATAGTACAGTGAACATCCACACACCAAATGTTAAGTTTTGCCACATTTGCTTTCTCAGTCTTAATTTGTAGCATTGGTGTCCTACGCTAATAGTTTTTTCATCTTTTATTGGTACATTACAATTATACTTAATAGTGGAATTCACTGTGATATAATCATACATGCACATAACATATTTCTTTAAAAGACTAAACCAGCTGGGCACATGGTACATCCTGTAATCCCAATGACATGGGAGGCTGAGGCAGAAGGATCACAAGTTCAAAGCCAACCTGGGCAGCGAAAAGACCCTATTCCAAAATAAAAATGGCCAAGGATGTAGCTCAGTGGTAAAGCATCCCTGTATCATAAAAGAAAGAAAAGGAAGCAAGGAAAGAAGGAGAAAGAAAACCTGAAAAATTGCTAAATTCAGTAATGTTGCCTCATAATATTTTAAATATAATTATGAAATTTAGTGCATGTGTAAGTTTACACATATACACTTTATTTTGGTATTCCATAAGTGTGTTGTATTTTATTAAATGAGCTCAATATTTCATTTTTCTGCAATTCTAATTAATTTTGGTATGTAAACCTATATGACTCCTAGAGATTTTAGCATATAAAAATATTCATTATAGAGCTATCAGATCTGTGATTTCTAGTAAGATTCCTAGATACATTTGGTTTACTTAAAAAAAATAACATTCTAGTTAAATGTAATGGGGCATACCTATAATGCCAGCTACTTTGGAAGGTGGAGGCAGGAGGATGGTAAGTTCCAAGCCAACCCGGGCAACGTGGAGAAGACCCTGTGTCTCAAAAAAAAAAAAACCCTGGGAGCCAGGATGTACCTCAATGATAGAGCCTGCTTAAGGCCCTAAATTCAATCCCTACCACCTAAATAAATAATCTTCTGTACTTTGACAGAGTTGAGAAGAAAGAAAGAGCCCGTTTAAAAACAGTAAAATTCAATTCTAAAACAAGAGGAGATAAAGGGGTGAGTATATGAAATCTCTTATTTTTGAAAATAAATGAGGACAGTATACTTTTTCATAATTATCATTTGAGCTAGATTGTTAAGAAAGATTTTGCCATAGAATTAACTATAAGCAGCTCTTTCCAGGTGCTTTACAGTAATAGTGAGCATTTATTAAAGTACCCATTTCACAGACATTTCCAAATAATTAAAACTACCATTTGATATATTCTTAGCAACATACTTTTGATCAGGGTTATTTTTATAAATGAAATGGATTATATTATCACTACTAATAGTGAAAGCTAGTTTAATATTGACTCCTCTATACTATAGGTGCCTTCAAAATATCAACTGTTAAGAAGTTTACAAGTTCTTGCAAGTGAATTCATGAAAATCTCCTTGTTCTCTGAACCGCCGTCATTGTAGAAATAATTTCTCAATAGAATTCATATTTTAAATGTTGGAATCAACATGAATATTTATTTGGAGGGAATAATGAAAGTGAGTCAAAGAAGTTTTGCAGATAGAAAAGAAATGCATCAATTTTTACATATATAAAGATATGTAAATATATTTACATATTTAAGATATATAAAAACATATTTACATATCTTTAGATATATATATTTACATATAGATATGTGTTTTTCATTTTTATACTGTGCTTGAGTATAAAAATTTTGGATGCCAGTGGATGAGAAAGTACCAATTTCACTTATACTACGTTGACTGTAATTCCTGATTATCCTGAACTCACTGCAAGAAATCTTCTAAAAGTAAGCCTGAATAAAGAGCTGAACAAGTTGTGTTGAAATACTTTTCATAGCAATTGGTTTTATGTGTTGGAGGGGTCTTTTTGTTGTTGTTGTTTTTACTCTAAAATAAATATTTGATAATATTTGAAAAGTTAACACAGCAAAATAAATTTACCCTCCATACAACTCTGTTACCAATTCACTAAGCACTCAAGCATAAAATTTTAAAATATAAGAAATATTGTGTTTGGTCCACAAAATTAAATCTGAGTAAATTCAATAATATATTCAGGTTTTTTGAAAGTAATAAATTCCTTTAAAAGTAACTTGTACCTTTCAGAAAACACAATTTTCAGTATTTAAAATGGAAAATTTTATAGGAGGAAAAAATCCCAAGTAACTGCTTAGAATGTGAAATAAATACAGTGCTTTTTGTGCTTGTTTTATATATGTCTTTAAAAATAATTTAGTACACTACACTTAATTGAAAAAGATTGCATGTTGTAGCTTTTCTTTCATACTAAATTAACGATATATTTATATCTTAGTCTTGTTTGTTGACTGTAACCAACTTGATACACAATCACTGTGTTCTAACACAGCACCAAAAATATGCATGATACTGAGTGGGGTAAAAATACGCTTGCCATTGATACAGAACTGCATTTCTTTCTGTAATACCATTCCTTTTCTTCCTTTTCCTTTCCTTACATGGTAATTTGTGGACTTTATTTTCACTGCAGAATTAATAATATTTCAGTTTCTCCTAACACTTTTTAATGGATTTGGCTATTTTGAAATATACATGGAAATTATGTATTTAGATACTTAATATATGTATCATAGATTTGTGATGTTTTCAGTTCTTATATTTATTGCACTCTTGCAATACAACATCAATGACAACAAATAATTAAACATAGTATTTTTATTGAAAATATAGAAAACCTGGAGGTAGTTTGTCTCTTCAGTTTTGTGTTTTCCTCACACATTTTTGTCTTGTTTGCTTATGCTATTTTTGTTTTCACTTTTAATAAATTCTTCACCTGGACGATATTAAATGTAATACATTTAATACATTTCTTAACTAACAAGCACTCTTTCTATCATATTACAATATCTTATTGATATCTCATTTTGGCTAACTGCAAAGATATCAAAAATCAAAACATTTTAAACTTCATGTTTCTTTTGGTTGTGTACTGTGAAACTGACTCTGACCACTATATATGCAGTAGGAGGAGTAAATGACCTTTTATTAAAAACATTTTCAATTTCATTAGATATCATGAATGTTATTACTAAATTCAAAAACAGTGATTCTTTGGAATAAAAAGACTTAGAATTTTCCTTAATTAGTTTACACACAAATTGTTCTCTACTGAAACTTACATTTTCTTCTCTCCTTTCTAAAATTTCAAGTGAAGATTTTTATTCAGTTGATGCTACTTGACCATTTATAAAACAGTTATAAGTCCAGATTTATCCATGGTGTTTTTTCTCATTATTTTTTACCTCTGCTTAGAGTTTTTTATCTAGTTCCTCAGAGCCTTCAAAATTTAAGATTGAGGGGCTGGGGTTGTGAGGCACTGGGCTCAATTCTCAGCACCACATATAAATAAATAAATAAAATGTACATTAACAACTAAAAAATAAAAATACAAAAAGTTTTAAGATTGAAAATTTAAGGTAGTCTGCTTGGCTAATGATTGAATTAATCATGAATTATTATATGAAAAGGTAAAAATGAAAGCTTAACCTTGTTTTTATAAAGTTTCTTTTCAAAATTCTCCCATTATAATTGAAGCTAAAAATTACTTTAACTAACTTTAGTACCTTAATTGCCAGCATCATATGCTTCAAAAAAAGGGAATGCCCAAAACCTACTGCCTGGCATTGATATACTTTAAAACAGTTATGTGCAGTAGTCTCCCCACCTTGTCCATGAACAATATATTCCAAGACTCCCTTTGGATGCCTGAAACCATGGATTGTACCAAACTCTACATCCACTGTGCTTTTTCTATAGATTCATACCTATGAATAAAGTTTAAATTGGGCACAGTAGGAGATTAACAACAAATATGTAAAAATAATAGAATAATTGTAACATTATATTATAATCAAACTGCCAGCATACCTACTCTTGTGCTTTGAGGCCATTATTAAGTAAAATAAAGGTTACTTGAACACAAGCACTGACACTGAAACAGTGAATCTGCTAACCAAGATAGATACTGAACACACCCTGGGCAGGGCAGAGCAGGGTAGCATGAGATTTCATCATGCTACTCAAATCAGTGTACAATTTAACACTTAGAACCATTTGTTTCTGAAATTATCCAATCACAAAAAGCAGAATTGCAAATAGGAGGAATCTAATGTAGCATCTTATGACATGAATAAACTCAAGAAAAATGAGAACAAAATTTGTATCCTTTTGGAGCCGGAGGTATAGCCTTATGATAGAACACTAGCATGTGTGAGACCATGAGTTCAATCCCTAGCACCACCCCCCCAAAAAAAAAAAAGTGAAAAAATATTATGTCCTTTATATTATTCCCTCCACTCTCAAATAATAATACTAATAATAACAACAATAATAATAATTTATATTGTCACTGGTAAGTTAGGACATTTTTCTTTTAAACATGAATGCCTATTGCAGAGAAATTACAAATGAAGCCCTTTCTCTTTAATAGCCTCATCATCCTTCTGTGGGCAGTGAAGAATATTAAATCAGTTGCTCAGTTCTCTCATAGCAATTATCTAATAGACTATTAAAATCTTTAATTTTCTTTGTGACCTTGACAGGCACTAACCTTTTTATTCTCTATGCAGAGTATGGTGCCAATGGACTGAATGTGGTTCTATTTTATTTATTTATATATACTTTTCAAAATAGATAAGTGCAGTGCAGCTTAAAAACAAGTAAATCAGTTGTAACAATGTTCAAGTTGGCCAAGAGTCTTGACTCTTCTTCCTTGGCTAAGATAACAGTGATAAATCTTATTTTGGACTCTGTATGTATGCCTGATGGACCTTTTCGTTTTCTTTCCATTTTCTAATTCATGCCATAAGCATTTAATTATCTTTTTCCTCCTCCAAAAAGAAAATGAGATTGTGTGTTTTTAAGTATTTAGCATTAGCAACTTACTCAATTTTTTCATTTACTTTTTTTTTCCAATGGTAGCCTTTCTGTTAGTATAGCCACAAACAAAGGGATAAGGGAAAAACTGTGGTCCAAAGTAAAATGAAAGATTACAACCTAACACGCAAGCAAAGTTGAGCAACAAAATAACATTAAAAATAAATTTTATAATAGGGCACCTAGCACCATACTTGGAGATTTTTCTTGAAACTTATGGATTCATGTAAACAAATATTAGCTTGATTCATGCTTTTATAGTAATCTGATTTATTCTTTACCTTTTTTTTTTGTCAAGTAGCATTCCTTATTGTAAGGTATAACTGAATTGTGCTCTTTAAAAATTTTTTAATATTTTAATTTGTAAAATGTTAGAGGAGTTTATACAAAATTAGAAATTTATTTTTTATATGATTAAGTAAAATTCATACAAACTGCACACTGTGGTCACAGGAGTCAGCTTCCACAGAGCTGCTAGGCTGGGCCTTTGTACACACAGACAGTAGACATCCCTTTGTTTTGCCCCTCCTTCTCTTCTTCAGCAGTCATTCAATGACAAGCGTAAAAAGAACCTCTTTTCCCGAAAATTTCCCTTCTACAAGAACAAGGACCTGAGTGAGCAGGAAACAAGTGATGCTGACCGTAAGTATGTGGATCCAGTGGTCAACTGAAAATAAATGTAGAGGGACCTACTGCCCTGCAGTTGGTTGTTACCATGGAGACAGTTTCAAGAGCTGCAACAGGTTACTAATTGTGTTGACCAGGGGAAATGTTTACAGGCATAAATTCATTTGTATACCAATCTTAACCTTTTCTGGCACCTTAGGAACTCTTAAGCAGTGTTTTTGAATTATGTGTTTATAATTTAAACATATAAAAAATAAATAGAATTATTTAAAATAGGAGTTCTTATTTTTAAAAAGCAGACATTCAAATAATGTTTTGGAAGAAAAACATAGATACCTGATTTCTAGGTATGGCCTCACCAATCTTTAAATATTAGGTCATCTGGAATCATTCCATTTTATCCCCTTTCTTCATTATGTGTAGACAATGTAAATTTTATTTTAAGAATAGCAAGAAATGTCCCTGAATTTTGCACCTCGGCCTTAATCAGTCTCTAAACTAAAACTTCCATCCTTTTATAGATTACATTTCATTTCAGTTCCAAACTTTCTGAAATCTATAAAAATGCTCTGTAAGATATGTGCACCTGTAATGGTCTTGGAACTGTCTCTTACTGTAGCACCAATTTTATGTATTACTGACAACTATTTTCTTTGATTATCTTTTTATTGCTTGCTCTCTGGGGACTACTCTCTACAGGAGATCCCTGACGACATGGGATCAAAAGGCCTGAGTAAGTGATCAAAATACTCCCAAGTTATTTTTTAACCTCCATCTACAGACCTACCTTATTCAGATAAATTTGAGATTCGTGGTAGTGCCCTTCTGGCATAAGGAGGTGTGTGATTTAGATTGCTTTTAGACTTTTCATGTTTATAACACACTTGGGATTTTTATTTCTGTAATACATACTTTTTGTTTTTCTTACACTCCATTTTTTACATGTCATTTGAAATTTACCTGCTCACAATTATATTTTCCTTTTTGTAATTTTTATGGCAGTCACTTTTGCTAGGGAGTTTTTAATATATAGACTTTTTTAGTTTTTTTTCTTTTAATAGTACTACCTGCTCTCATTATCAGAATATAGAAATATGCTCCCTTAGAGTTTTGTGTCCCTTTTTTTGTTGTTGTTGTTGTTAAAATCACTTTGATTATGCATTAGAAAAGCATTGTTATGTGAAATTATAAAACAGTAGATTTTAATTATTAGAGAAGAATTGCAGACAAGTTCAAATAGCAATTTTGGAGGGAAATTATATATACCTCTTTTCTGAGGAGATTATAAGCAATGAGAAGAGTTACAAGAAATGTTATCCTTTGGTTTTCCTTTAAATCAAGATCTTATCTGTTTTGGGGTTTTGTTGTTTTAGTATTCTAAATTTTCTAGCTAGTACTTAATCTTTATATAGAATTTGGCACAGAAGCTGTTATACACAAGGAATTCAGTAAATGTTCAAATGAACTACTGAAGCAAAATTTACTTACATAAATTTTGCAGACAAAATTTTAAATTTGGTTGATCTCAAATTGCTTGTTTATGAAAATTTGCCATATACTACTCAGTAACTTTAGGTACAGTGAATCATAAATAATCTTTAGGCTAAATTGTATTCTAAATAGTTCTTTTCATTTGGAACATTAAGCATTTTGAAAACTTATTTTTTTGTAATTCATTGGTCATTAAGAATATAGCCAATTCTGTGAGCTTTCTAAGATCTACATTAATAAACATTCAGTTTCACAGACTTTTTCTCCTGATTTATGGTAACTTTATATTGTAATATTAATCTAAACTGTAGGCATTTATTTCAACCTTAGGACTTAGGTATGCATTAGGTTGAAGACAGTTTACTTTATGTATAATTTTTTCTATTAGGCATACTTTGTTATTTTTACATGTGCCTTTTTAAAATTTCGTAAGGACCATAGATTTTTTTATTAATAGTAGCATCCCTTTTTTTAAAATCTCTTACATTTAAGGGGGGAAAACAATCTTCAAAACTAGAAAATCATTTTCACAGATTATAGATGCTATAGAATTTATTTTGAGATTGATATATTTTTAGAAGTGACATGAATCAGCAATGTACTTACCCATTTTTACCATCATTGAGATAACAGAGATCTGTGGAACACTTCTAGGAAAAGGAACTAAATGAAGAACTTGGTTCCCATATTGATACCGTTATAATTATAACCTGACATTATATCTCTGATTCTAACTAAGGGTTGGAATTTGAGAAGCAGAACAATATGAAAAATGGTAACTAATTATCAGACTTAGAAAAGGTTTGACTTTCTGGACAGTAACTTAAGGTCACTTGAATAATAGGTATTGCTTCATCTCATAGGAATTATGAGATGTTACATATGGCCTTAGTTATCTATATTTTATATTTAAGAATACAGGGGAAAATTAAACAAAATCCTGTGAGATTTTAAAATAAGAAAATACATTCAACCTAATATAGGTAGTCATTAAACCTTGTTGGAACAGAACTAAGGAATCTGCAGAGTAAGCTATTCCAGAGACATAGAATGACCTATTTAAAATATGTAGAATAATACTGAATATCAAGGAAAATTTATATCCATATGTAAATACACACAACCTATGAAAAATAAGATATTTAATTGAAGAGCTGAGAAACAAAAGTGATACCGTAGAATGCTTTTCATATATATGAATCCAAGAGACTGATAAATTATTGATTTGCGGTCTTGACAATTGAGAAAACAGTGAGAGAAATTGCTTTTACTTACATAATTCTGACTAGCAGGACTAACATACAGTAGAAGTCTACAAGAATATAGCTAAATCACCATCTTAATTTAAAACTAGAAACAGAAACCTGTATTACTTTTATGCTTTAAGGATGCAATTCTGAAGGAGCTCAAGGCAATAAAACTGAGTAAGATTCCTTTAACAGAGACAAAATAGGAAATTTAGCCCAATAGAAGATACATAAGGTGCATTTGTGACAATCTTTCCATTTTTACAATTTCCAATCTTGTCAAACACCTCAAAATCTCTTCTCAGGCACACAATTTTCCTGTTACATATCTCTTTCCTTTCTTCTCATTCTAAAGACCTATTTAAGCAAAATTCTGCACAGCTCTTAGATGCCAAAATCAGACTTATTTGTGTTTTAAATAAAATATAAGCGTAGTCGTATTGCTTGGGATTGATGATATATTCAGGGAGAGCAAACTGTCAGGAAGAAATACTTAAGTAGAAATGTGGAAACTTGGTTAGAGGATTTGAAATGCTTGTGGTTATTTCAAGTATCATAAATTAAAAAATGAAAATATAAATATATTTGCATCATGTATATTAATGGGATGATGTTCTTATACTATAAATTTTGAATCAGTAAGAAACAGACCTAAATGTCCATTAGAAAACTAGACATAAGATAATACAAACACGTTAGCTTTCCCATTAATTTAACAAATACTTGATTGATCAACTTGGAAAAAGATTATTTGGGCTCACAGTTTTGGAGGTTCTGGTCCATTATAGATTGGCCCTCTTATTTTGGGGCCTGTGGCAAAGCAGCACATCATGGTGGGGAGTGCATGGTGGAGCAAGCTGCTAAACTACATGATAACTGAGAAGCAAAAAAAGAAAGTAGGATCTGAAGCACTGTAGTCTCCTTCAAAGTCACACCCTCCCCCATTGATCTGAAACCTCCATGGAGCCCCACATCTGAAAGTTTCTACCACCTCCCAATAGTGTCATACTGGGACCAAGCCTTAAAATGTGGGTCTTTTGGAGAAGCTGCAGATCCAAACTATAGCAACAAGATTGCTCAAAAGATAAGCAAAGCCAGGAGTGGTGGTGCACACCTGTTATCCCAGCACTCAGGAAGCTGAGCAGGATGATCATGAGTTCAAAGACAGCCTCAGCAATTTAACGAGACCCTAAGCAACTTAGACCCTACCTCTAAATAAAAAATAATTTTAAAAGGTGTTGGGTCCTCCCCTGGGCATCTCCTGCTGTGGAGGCAAACTAGAGGGGACTGCTGAGCTGGTCCTGACCATGTGGCAGATCATGGGACTGAGTCACTGCAGAGGCGTGAACTGTCACAGCCAGAGAAACAGTGCAGCAGGGGTGACCCAGGACAGTGAGCTGCAAAGATTGTTTTGCACATTCACTGTCACATCTGTGTCTGGACCGGACACGGCACTGGGCTTCTGCGGGAGGTTCTTACCTTGTATATCCTGCGCATCAGTCAGAATCATTACCAGGTGGCTGTGCCCTGTGAGCGGGAAGATGTGCAGATATACTTGACTCTCCTCTCAGTGTAACTTTTATATGAAATAATGTCACCAAGCGACAGTTAAAAAAAAGGAGGTGGGGCGGGATTGGGCATGTGGCTCAGTGGTTAAGATCCCCTGGGCTCAATTCCTGGTACCAAAAAAAAAAAAAGATCAGCAAATTAAATAAGCATATATAAAAATGTTTAATAAGTTTCCTAGTAATCAATAAACAGAATAAAGGAAACTCCAGTGATAAGTAGATGGTTCTATGAAATGGCTTCTCTTTAACATAGGTATCTTTCTGGAAAAGCATCTTTTGGCCCACTAAATTCTCTTCAGGGAATTATCCTAAGGACATAATGAGCAATGGAGATAAATACTTATTATATTTGAATGTTTATCATTTATTTAGAAATAACAGAAAAAAAATAAAATTGAAACTATCCTAAAATGACTTAGTGGGGAAATGGTTAATGAAGTATAAATTATCCATACTTTGTAGTTTTATGTAACCATTGAAAATCATTCTGAAAATGACATGGGAAATGCTTAATATATAAATGAAAAAGTAATATGAAAGTGTACATATGCTCAGATACGCAAATAAAATGTTGGGGGTTATTTCAAATAGTTGTTTCAAACATTCTTGTATGTGGCTTTTGGTGACCCTACATATTGCCTTTCTTTGGGACAAATACGTAGGAAAGGACAGAATTGCTAGGTCATATGCATGTGTCCAGCTGTAATAGGTATAGTTAGCTTTCTGTATCCATGGGCTCCACATCTGTGTATTCACCCAATCATGGGCTGAAAATATTGAGGGGGATTCCATAAATTTGCAAAACACAAAACTTGAATTTGCTGTGTTTACTAAACATTACACTGAATCCATGCAAATGGGGTGATATGTGGGCATAATCTTCTGTAGCCTCCTACCATTTCACAGATCTTCAGTCTCTCTAGTGCTTGTTTGAGCATCATTTGCTTTCTATCTTCTTGTATAATTGTAGATCTGTGATGGTTATGTGTGTATGCAGAGACATTTTTTCTCATTATTCCCTAAATTATACTGTATAACAACTATTTATTAAATAGCATTTACAGTGTATTCGGTATTAAGTAATCCAAACATTAATTTAAAGTTTATGGGAGAATGCTGAGGATGTAACTCAGTGGTACAGCATTTGCCTACATTGCAAGAGGCCCCAGGTTCCATCCCAGCACCCCTCAAAAAACAAAGTATATGGGAGGGTGTGCCTAGATTACGTGTAAACACTGCACTATTTTATAGAAGTGACTTTTGCATCCTCAGATTTTGATCCTCTCCCAGGTCCTGGAACCAGTCCTTAATGGATACTTTTCCAAAGTATTTTTACCAATTTGCCTATCTCCAGTATACTTCATTTGCTACATATCCTTGTCTATGTTTTTAGCATGTTTGTTTGTTTTATTTTGTTTCATTTTAGCCATTCTGGTACATGGTAGAAATATTCCTTGTCATTTTAATTTGCATTTCCCTAATAGTAAATTTTTAAAGTAAATTTGAACGACTTTTTTCTATATTTTTTTGGCTATTCGAATACCTTCTTTGGTAAAGTGCCTTCAGGAAGTTTTGATGATGTTGTTTTATTTCTGGTTCTTTATTGTTGTTGTTGTTTGCTTATTTGTTTTGTTGTTGTTAGTAATGGCAGTGCTGGGATTGAACCAAGGGATTCATGCTGCTAGGCAAAGCCCTCTTCCACTGAACTAAATCCCCAACCCAAAATTTATTTTTAATTTTCAGGGACGAAAAATCATGTTACCTTTCTAACAAATTCTCACACCATGATTATGATGATGGTAATCCAAGGCCCAGACTTTTTAATAGCAAGGTTTTATTATAAAGGAACTAAATAAAAGAGTATTTGAAAGAGCCTGCAGATTTTGATTATTGAATAGCTTTTGGCAATCTTAAAGAGTTCTAGGTGAGTAGGTGAATCCAAAATAAAAAAGATATAATAAGAGATAATGGTATCTTTAAATTTCTATTATATAACATGTCAGATGCATTCAATGGTAGAATAGTAAAAATAAACCCCACAAGTATTTATTTACCTGTCTTCCATAATTATTATCTCAATTAATTTTTCTTCAGTACTCTTAACTTCCCGCTCTCCACTCCATTGCAATAACTAATTTTTCTTTCTTTTACAAATTAGAGACTATATAGTCTATAATCTCTAATTTGTAAATTTAAGATTTTTCTTTTTTTAATGTGACATTCCTACTTCTGGGAACGAATTTTAAGAAAATAGGACAGAGCTAGGTGTAGTTACGTACACCTGTAATCCCATGGCTTGGGAGGCTGAGGCAGGAGGATTGTGAGTTCAAAACCAACCTCTGCAATTTAGTGAGTCCTTAAGCAACTTAGTGAGACCCTGTCTCAAAATTTTAAAAAATGCTGGGATGTGGCTAAATGGTTAGTGCCCTTGGGTTCAATTCTCAGAAAGGGGTGAGGGGGAAGCGGACAGGACAGGTAAAAAGTTATAAAATGAAAGCATTTATAATTGTTGATGATTATAAAAACAAAACAGTTTAAGACATACTAAAATGTCTAAATAATAATAAATCCAATGTAATCTAATGTTTAAAAGGTTTAACCTTTAAAAGGTTTTTTTTTGTAGACAGACACAATACCTTTATTTTATTAATTTATTTTTATATGTTGCTGAGGATTGAACCCAGTGCCTCACATATACTAGGCAAACACTCCATCACTGAACCAACCCAATATTATACACTTTTAAATAATTGTTTTGAAGTCTTTGTAGTAACATGAAAATAAATTTTTAAATGTAAGCTGAAAAATAAACACCATTTTATGTGTGTTTATCATATATTAGTCAATTCTACTTGCAATAACCATGATAAAGTTACAACTTGTCTTTTGTAAATTAGAATAATAGACTTACTTTTCACTATGATAGCAATTTAAAAACATTTTTTTTTCAAACCAAGAATTGTTGTTGTTGTTGTTGTTGTTGTTTTAACTTGAAATCTTAAGGATCTGCCATTTCTCTGTATGTGCCGATAGTGCTATTTGATTTTAAAAAGCCTACCTAGTAGGTGTTATGGCATAGCAAATATTTATCCTCGGACTTTTTCCTTGTCCTTAAATTTTTATTTTCTTTCCCTAACAGCAATTTAGGTTTACCTTCATTAAAAACTTTTGTGTACTTTTATAAATAAAAGTATACAAAAAAGCACATACATAAATAAAATTATTAGTCTTGAGTGGGTGTAGTGCTGCACACCTGTAATCCCAGCAACTCAGGGAGGCTGGCTGAGGAATCTAAAAGTTCAAGGCCAGCTTGGAAATTTAGTGAGACCCTCAGCATCTTGGCAAAACCCTGACTTAAAATAAAAAATAAAAAGGGATAGAGTTAATAATGTGTTATTAATGTATGTTAATAATATCCCTGGGTTCAATCCCTAGTACCAAAAAAAAAGTTAGTCTCTTCTTTATTGAAGGAAGATATTTATTGAAAGAGTACATTTACATGTATAAGAAGAGTGCCTATTTAATGAAGTTATGAAATGGGGTCACTTTGAAAAGGAAAGATCAGGCAATTTTTTAATAGATATTTTGTTTTGAATTAATTTTTTTTCAATGTTTTACAAAGCATCTACTGTTAATTTTATTAAGGTGGAGTTTCTAAGAAATACTGGTCTATCTTAAAATGTAATTCCCAACCTGTAGAATTCTCTTCCCTTTAACTTTTTATGAGACATTTAATTTGATATCTAAAATGCTTTTTATAATCTCAGAAATATAGATTTTCATTTCTCTTCAGCAACAAGAAAGAGACTATACTGAAAAACAAAATCTATTTTTAAATTACAAAGACATTTCTTCATTAATATGGGCAGCTATTTATTCAAATATAATTTGTCTCCTTTCCTGGTCCTTAACTGTTTCATAAACTAAATTCAGTGATGCCAAATATACTTTCTTTGTCATATTCTACTTGCTATTAATTATATAGATTTTGTTTGTAAAGTGTTGTATAAAAAATAGTGTTATCCTTAATTACAGGTATTTGCCCTTACTGATTCTTATTTATTTGAAAAAAATTAAACTTCAGAAAATCAAAAATACTTTTTAAAACTTTATATCTCAACATTTTGTAATGTCACCATGTTTTATTTTAATAATTTGCTTTTATCAGTTTTTTATATTCGTGACACTGTGTTTTCTTTATTTTTTTCATTGTCCTGCAATTTCAGAGCATGTAACTTCTAATGCCAGCGATAGTGAAAGTAGTTACCGTAAGTGTTTTAAATTACTTGTTCTTTTGTTATCTGAAATACTACGCATTCTTTGGGTAGCCTTTTCCTTAACAGTGTCTTCTATAAACTGAAAATCAGATGTTTAATATTTTAAAATCAGGAAAAGCCAAGACAAATTATGTACTTGAAAAATAAAATTATACTACAGGTTCAGCATCTCTGATCCAAAAATGAAAGAAACTTTTCAGTACCAGTGTGATGATCAAAAACTTTATGACTCTGGAGCATTTTGGATTTCAGGTTTTCAGATTATGGATACTCAGCTTGTAACTTCTATGCAAATATTTCAAAATTTAAAAAAATAACCTTAAAATCTGAAACAAGCATTTGGGATAAGGAATATTCAGTGTATACATTAAATTAATTTCTGAAGATTAATTTCTGAAGTTTTAATATAATATTAAAAAGTAAATTTTCATCTGGTTAATTGGGACATTAACTTGTATTTTGATATTTTGTTTAGTAATTGTCTTTTTAACATAATGTTTTTTTAGTAACGCTAAATCATAACCAACTTTATTTCCTTTCTTACTCTGCCTCACCAGGAGTTATCTGGGTCTAGTCATTATTTATCACCACCTGTATGGTGAACATAAGAAGTAAGAAAGGAAAATTTTTAAACCATTGCTTAAAAAGTAATACTGTTTTCTTTCTTGGTGTTTTGTAGTATATTCTTGGTATTATTAAGTGAACTTTAGAAGCATGTCAAGTTTTTAAACAGATTGGGGCATGGGAGGAGGGGAAAGTACATAAATTACCAGTTGTAGCACCTTAAAAATTAAAATTGCTTTTTTAACTTCTTTTTTTTTTTTTACTGCTCTCTAACATGAAAGTAATCTTGATTACAGATGAGTATGGCTGCTCTAAAGGTCCATCCTGTTAATATCTATCACCAGTATTTTTTTCATGTTGACAATATATACTTTTAACCCTCATTTATTTAATTGACTATTTTTTTCTATATAAAAGTTACTTAGTATTTTTTCTTTTTATTGTGGGCATGTGATTTCTTATATTTCACTATTGTATTAACTTATAACTTGAACCCACTATAGAATAGTTAAGTGGCTTTCTAGACTCAAAAGAGGTAATGAAAGTATATACTGTCTCTTTCACCATTTGCATGAATTATTAAGGTGTGGAATATTCAAATTGCATGTTTTTGCTAGTATGTAAACTATGTTTTATATCTAGTTTTTATAATTCAGCTTATAAAATATCTGTTTAATATATTATAATAATGAAATTAAAACAAAAAAATGCATTTTAAAGTAGTAAAGAATATTAACCCAGTATGTGAACTTAAAAGACCTATAACTGTAGATGCACAGTATAAGTCAATGACAAAATTACTGGTAAAGTTTTTATAGAATCTTGATAAAAAGAAAATCTTCAAATACATTAACCAATTTTTGTTGCTTTTGTTAATAATGCTTGGATTCTGGTTTGTTTTCTATATGTGTGTTTTTGTTAGAAACTCCTAGAATTTTTAACTCTTTTTCTTTTCACTGAGTTCAGATATTAATTGCAGGCTCTTTTATTTAACATATTTCCTAAGAGCTAAACCTTTAATTTAACCTTCAGAAGCTTTAATTTCTAATGTGGTTTTAAGATCAAGGGAAAATGTATTTTGTTGGAAGGAAAGTATTTAGTTTTATCTAAAGTTATTCTTTAACTCACTTTAACTGATGTTTTTCAACTTTGAATTAAGGGTGGGCAATTTAGCTTAGTAGTAGAGCTAGCATGTATGCAGCCCCAGGTTCAATCTCCAACATCAAAAAATAAATAAATAAGTAAAGAAATTGAAAAGTAGAATAATCAGTGAATTTTTTCATCAGTGAAATAGTGACAGTTTTACTGTTGTATTCAAAATTTTTAATTGTAAGATAGTTGTAATTATTTTTAAAATAAAATGCACTCTTAAATATTATAATTGGTAGACCCAGAAAAGGAGCACATTATTAATAGTAGAATAACAAAGATAGTCCTTGAATAAATAGCACATTTATATTTTGTTTTATATTTATCAAACTTGTTTTTATGACCTAATAATTTGTCTATTTTCAACAAAGTCTTACAGTTAAGATATGATATAAAGTACCTTTTTCTACATCTTTGCCATTTTCTCAAGAAAGTTTTAATATTCATATGGTATCTATAAAGAATTAAATTAGTAAGTTATCATTCCAAATTAATCTGTGATTTAATTTCTGATAGGTGGTCAAGAAGAATATGTGTTGTCTTATGAACCAGTGAATCAACAAGAAGGTTTGTGAAGCCCATTGATGTTTTATAGTCTAATTTTTTTTTAATTTCTTAATTTGGAAAACAGTTCTGTCTCATGCCTTAAAAAATTGTTATATTAGAATTTTCATACGTTTTTAAATGTACATTTTAGTACATTTAGTACATTTTTACTATATGGATAGTGTACAAATTTATTACATGAATTTTAGGAAACATGGTTTTAACTCACAGTATATTAGAAATAATATAAAGTTTATTATAAATATGATTTATATTAGCATTTTACTTCCTAAGCAACCTTCCATCATTCATAATAGCATCACTGTCCTTTCAATAAGCGTTTCTTTTTATTAATCTTAGAAGCAATCTTTGACTTTTCTCTATTCCTTATCTTCCTCTTCCAGTCAGGTTCTAGTCCCTATTTATTCTACTTCTGTCATATCTTTCTTATTAACGATTTCCTTTTCATCCCTCCTACCACAATAGTAGTTCTGATTCTCTAATCACTCCTTACAACCTATTATAAACATTCTATTAGATCATCTTTCTAAATCACTACTATGATTACATCACTTTGTACACTCAATTTCTGTTTTGCCCTTCTTTGCTCTGCTTCCATACAATTTCTGCTTCAAAAACCATCAGTAGCCAGGCACAGTTGCACATGTCTATAATCCCATCTACTCGGGAGCCTGAGATAGGAGGATCATAAGTTCAAAGCCAGCCTTGGCCATTTAGCGGGACCCTGTCTCAAAATAAAAATTTTAAAGGAGGCTGGAGATGTAGGTCAGTGGTAGAGCACCCCTAGATTCAATCCCCAGTACCACAAAAATTAATAGGATTTTAAAAATCAGTAAAACACTTTTTTCCTCATTTATAATGACATAATATTAGCAATATATGGAAACATCTCCTAAAAATGCTAAATTTAATTTGATTGACTTATAGCAGGAAATTGAGTCAAGTTGAAGAGCTTTTTTTTTTCCAGGTTTTTTTTTTTATTTTAATTAGTTACACATGACAGTACAATGATCTTGACATATCATACATTTGAATCAGATGGGGTATAATTTCTCATTTTTCTGAGTGTCCAGGTTGCAGAATCACATTGGTCATACAGTCACATATATACCCACAGCAATAATAATGTCTATTTTATTCTACTGTCCTTCCTTTCCCCCCCTTCCCTTCCCCTCCCCTCCCCTCTTACCACTTCTCTCTACCCAATCTAATGTGACACAGTTCTTTTTTTTTTTTCCCCTCACATCATACATGTATTCTGTATAACCATAAGGGTCTCCTTCCATCATCCGTGCAATTCCCCTTCTCCCTCCCTTTCCCTCCCACCTCTCTTCCCTATTTAGTGGTAATCTTCTTCTCATGCTCTTCCTCCCTACCCCATTTTGAGTCATCCCCCTTATATCAGAGAAGACATTCAGCCTTTGTTTTTTAGGGATTGGCTAACTTCACTTAGCATAATATGCTCCGATGCCATCCATTTCCCTGCAAATGCCATGATATTGTTATTTTTTAGTGCTGAGTAATATTCCATTGTGTATAAATGCCACGTTTTTTTTATCCGTTCATTCATTGAAGGGCATCTGGATTGGCTCCACAGTGTAGCTATTGTGAATTGTGCTGCTGTAAACATTGATGTGGCTGTGTCCCTGTAGTATGCTGTTTTTAAGTCTTTTTGGTATAGTCTAAGAAGAGGAATAGCTGGGTCAAATGGTGGTTCCATTCCCAGCTTTCCAAGGAATTTCCATACTGCTTTCCAAATTGGCTACACCAATTTGCAGTCCCACCAGCAATGTATGAGTGTACCTTTTTCCCCGCATCCTCGCCAGCACTTGTTGTTGTTTGACTTCATAATGGCTGCTATTCTTACTGGAGTGAGATGGTATCTTAGAGTAATTTTTATTTGCCTTTCTCTGATTGCTAGAGATGGTGAGCATTTTTTCGTGTATTTGTTGATTGATCTTAATAAAGGTTTATGAAATAGCAAATTAGTCAACTTGGTTGATGGTACAGTGGTATAGTAAAAGAAGAAAAATATTTTTCAGGACAATTCAGGATATTTTTGGTCTCCGTTGAAATAAAATACATTAATGTTTGTTGAGTGTTTATTCCTTTTAACATATAGTTTGTCTTTATAGTTAATTATACTCGACCAGTTATCATATTGGGACCTATGAAAGACAGAATAAACGATGACTTGATATCAGAATTTCCTGACAAATTTGGATCCTGTGTTCCTCGTGAGTAACCAAAATAAAACTCTTAATTATTGTTCTAACATTGTCTGTCACTGTGTAATAAAAGTAAACATAATTATTTTTAATGATTTGTAGTTATTTTATCAATTATTTCTCTGTCCTCTGTATTATTTTATTTTTCCCAATTTAAATTAATGTCTGTTGTTAAAGTTTACAAAGTAATGATTTAAATAAAAAATGGATTTATTGTGTTTTTAATATTAAACACCTTCCCAAGCTCTTTTTCTATTAAAGATACAACCAGACCAAAACGAGATTATGAGGTAGACGGCAGAGATTATCATTTTGTGACTTCAAGAGAGCAGATGGAAAAAGATATCCAGGAACATAAATTCATTGAAGCTGGCCAGTATAACAACCATCTTTATGGAACAAGTGTTCAGTCTGTGCGAGAAGTAGCAGAAAAGGTGAGCATCAAAGTAATTCCAGAATATAGTTTCTAATCCGGTGTGCCTTTGACAGTATTAAAGAGTGATAGGATAGAACTTTTGCTTCATATGTTTGGAGAACATAAAATAGATGAATTATGATTTATTCATATATTGGGATACAGCAACTAGAATGAATAAACTAATAACTAATATACCCACTAGTTAAGTGCATCCACATTGGTAAATCTAAGAATTATAATAGTGAATTGTAGAAGGAATTAGTAAAGATAAAAGCAAAAAGTATTGATCCCCAGTGATACAGAGAAAAGCAAAAAGCAATTGGTAGAAAACCAGAACAGTAGAGCCAATAAACTGACAAGCTGATTCTATGACAGGGTTGGGGGGATAAGGAAGCTCAGACAAAACTGTCAGCTAACTGATTAAGAAAAAAGGGAGGAAGCACAAATAAGAAAAACTTAAAATGACAAGGGGAAATAAACATAAACCAAGACTTTTTTTTTTGAACTGACTTTTTATACAAATAAATTTTATACAAATTAAAAATCTTTTTAAAGAGAAATTGCAAATTGCCAAAATGTAATACATACAAAAACAAAAAACAAAAACAGGCATAGAAGAAACAAGTAATTAAAGGATCTTCTAGCAAAAATGAGCATTAGGCCCAGATTGTAATTTTTATCAAACATTTAAGATCAAATATTCCCAGTGTTGCTTAAACAATTACAGAGACTAAATAGAGAATCTTGGACTTTAAATTGCAAAAAAAAAGAGAGAGAGAGAAAAAACCTTTCCAAATTATTTTGTTAAGTGAGATTGAAAAACCTGACAAAGATTGTACCAAAAAAAAAAAAAAATTCTAGCCCAGTGACATGAATGTCAGTGCATAAAGTTTAATGATTAATTAGTAAACAATCCAATACCACTTTCAAAAAGTACTGATCATGACTGAATACAATTTATTTTAGTAAATGCAAAGATAATTTGGTATTAGACAATATATTACAAACTAAAGAAAAAATTATTATCTTTGCAAAAAAAGACATTTGATAGAATTAAGTACTCAAGGTGTAGAAACTAATGAATAACTCATTAACATTGTGTTTATGCCAAAAAGTAGCTTCCCAACCAAACTCAGAGGCAAGACATGCCCACTCTCTACTGTTTAACACTGTGTTCGGAATTTTAGCCAAGGAAGCTAAACAAAACAATGAACTTAAAAAAAAGATAAAGCTGTTTACAAGATGTGTGTGTATGTGTGTGTATGTAAATATATATGTATGAATATGTATATACATACATATATATGGTATATATGCATATATATGTGTATATATAAACATATTTGTAAACAGCTTTATCTTTTTTTAGTATATGTATGTATGTGTGTGTGTGTATACACACAGAAAAACCCAAAGGAATTTATATATAAACTATATATACTATAAAAGAACTTAGTGAAGTAGATATTAAATACAATTAACAAATAATCAGTGGCCTTCACCAGTCACAAAAGTACATACTCTGATTTTATTAATTAAGTTTGGAACAGTAAAAGTTCATGTGTGTTCCCAGAAATCACTCCCTTTCAGTTACTACCTCCCTTCTGAAAAGTAAGTGCTATCGTGACTTAATTCATCATCAATTAATTTTTCCAGGTTTTAAACTTTATAAAGTGGACCTATGTTGTTTACATTATTTTTTACCTGGCTTCTTTGGCTTTAGAAGAGAATACAAGGTGGTTCTGTGGTGCTGGTAATATTTTGTTTTATGATCTGTGTAACCAGATGCTGGTTACATAGGTGCATTCATTTTATGGCTATACACATGATTTGGGTATTGTTCTATATTTTTAATTATAGATAAATAAAAATAGTAAAAAAAAAGTAGTGAATTGAATTAGTCAGTTTTGCATTACTATAATGAAATACATGAGACAATTAACCTTATAAAGAGAAAACATTTATTAAGTTCATAGTTGTGGAGGTTCAGAATCCAAGATCAGGCAACCCCATTGGTTTGGCATCTGATAAGGGCAGATTGTAGCACATCATGGCAGGAATGTGTATGTTAAGCAGTCACATTTCAAGAATATGTGTAGGGTCCCAAGTTCCTTTTGAAGCATACCCCCATCCCCACCTGTGACAAAAGTCCTCTCCTAAAAGGGTTCACAGCACATCCCAACACTGCCACTGTGGGGACCAGGCCTTTACTTATGGACCTTTGGGAGACATTTATCCAAACAATAGCATGAATATATCATTTATACAAATTTTTAAATCATAGGATAGTCTGTATGATTTATGGATTTCATGTTTACTAAACATTAAAACACAATGGAAATAGTACGTACACAGACAGCTACTATTAGAGTAGTTTCCCTTTGTTTTTTGTTTGTTTGGGGGGCTTATTGCTCCCCCCACCCCCACCCCCACCACACACCATTTCTTGTTACCAGGGATTGAACCCAGGGGGCACTTTAGCACTGAGCTAAACCCCCAGACCATTTTATTTTTTGAGACAGGGTCTTGCTAAATTGCCTTAAACTACCCTTAAACTTATGATCCTCTTGCCTCAGCCTCCCTAGATGCTGGGTTTACAGGTATGTACCACTGCACCCAGCTAGTAGTTTTCCTTTGAAAGAAGAGAAAATAGTTGGAGTTGTAACTGTTTTGGAATATCTTTCCTTTGAATTCTCATTTAAAATTTACAAACCATACCCTTAGCCTAACTAAAAGACAAATAATAACACTTCAAATTACTGAGAAATATGAAAGTAAACACCAAATTCCAGTGGAATATTTTTGAGGCAAACTTTGTAGAAAGCAAAAGCAGTCTGGAGGAATAAAATGCGTGGAAGAGAAAAAAGAAGAGGAAACAGTGAACCTCAGATTGATCTGAAATCCCTTCACAAAGAGAAAGTCTACTATAAGTTAAAATTACCAAAAAAAAAAAAGTCCTGCAAATTCACAGTAGGTAAAAGATCTAAAAGCACAGAAAGGACTCAAAAGGTGATAGTTTGGGTAAGGCAGCTCTTCAGCAGAGAAAAGAATAAAAAGGGAGGGTTTCCTTGACATACAACTGATGATATACATACAGCAAAGACAAAAATAATAAAGATGTGAAGACCTAAACACCATACATATTCAATGTGAAATGTTACATTCAGGTAATAGAAAATATACCTTTTTAAGCATTTAAGGAAGATTCAACAAGAAAAATGATCATATATAGGTTCCAAAGAAAATATTAAGACATTCCGTAAAATAAATTTTATAAGAGTCTTGATGACAATTTATACTAAAGCTGTAAATTATTAGAAAATGAAAACCAAAAAGTCCTATTCAACTGGAAACTTTCTAACAAAAAAAAATGGAAAGGAAGAAATACTTCTCAACTGATTCTGTGAGTCATTCTTAGATTTATAAACTTAAAAATACATTATCATAAAAAGAAAGTAGAATCTGTCCACTTTTTTAAAATTTACCATTTGAAAAAATAAGTGGTAGAATAATGATTAATAGTGGTTGGGAAGAGGTAAGGGGAAAGAAAGGTTGGACTTGATCTGTGCAAGCTGTAATCATATATGGAAATGTCCCACCCCCATTGATATGTACAAAAAATACATGTCAATCAAAAATTTAAAATAATGGATTGCATGACTCAATCTGATTTAGATATCAGTTCTATTCAAATTGAGCTTCTAAGTTCAGTACAATCCCAGTCAAAATCCAAATAGACTCCTTTTTAAATTGATCTACTAATTCTAAAATCTATATGGAAAATGCAGAAAAACTTAGAATAGCCAAAATAATTATGAAAAAATAAAGTGAAAGGACTCACAGAACTTGATTTTGAGATTTATTAAGAAAACAGTAACCATAACAATGTGATATTGATATGAAGATAGCATGTATATCAAGGAAATAAACCAGGGTGTTGGTGCCCAACTGTAATTCCTGCTACATGGGAAGCTGAGGCAAGAGAATCACTTGAGCCCAGAAGGCCAGACTCTTATCTCCCCCACCAAAAATTTATTTATTTATTTATTCATTCATTCATTTATACATTCATTCCTGGCACAGACCAACGTAAGGACATATGGACCTACAAATTCTGTAGAGAAAGAGTCTTTCAATAAGTGGTATGTAAACAATTGATTAGTTGTATCTCGGCTGTATATAAAAATAATTCAAAATGGATCATAGATCTAAATCCTAAAAAAGAATACTACATAACTAGGAGAAATGTTTTTCAATCCTGTGCCTGTTTTTTTTTAAATTAATATACCATATATAGATAAAGAACTCTTATAACACAACAATAAAGACAAGAAACCCAGTTTTAAAAGGGCAAAGGATTTGAGTAGACATTTCTTCAAAGGTATACAAATGTCCAAAAAACACATGAAAAGATGCTCAATATCATCAGTCCTTAGAAAAATGTAAACTGAAACCACCATGCTTACCGGTTAGAATGGCTAAATTTTTAAAACTGACCATATCAAGTTTTGGCAAAGATACGGAGCAACTGAAACTTTCCTACTCTTCAGTGAAAATATAAAATAGTGCAACCACTTTGAAAAACAGTTTAAATATATACCTAACATATAATCTATTTCCCAATGTTTACCTAAGAAAAAAGAAAGCATGTATTCATAAAGACTTACACACAAATGGTCATAGCAGCTCTTTGTAATAGACAAAACTGGAAATAACCAAAATGTTGCTCAGCCTATGAATGGATAAAGTGTCATATGGGGTTGGGGTTGTGGCTCAGTGATAGAGACTTGCCTAGCATGTGTGGGGCACTGGGTTCAGTCCTCAGCACCACATATAAATAAATAAATAAAGGTCCATTGACGACTAAAAAAAATTGTAAGTGTATTATTTACAGGCAATGAAATACTAACTCAGCAATAAAAGAATTAAACTATTGATAAAAATAGCATATCAAATAATCCTGCTTACTAAAAGAAGTCAGACAAATACATACTGGATAATTCTACTTAGGTAATG